GCGTAACTTGGGGGAGGCCTACGTTCAGCAGTGGACTTGTGAAGGCCTGTAATGATGATGATGATGATGAGCTATAGTTTCGAGAAAATAGCAATTAGAAGTTGGTTCTAAGACACTAAACGAAGACTATCCAACTGTGCAGGACAGGATTATAGTGCACAAGTGTGTGCTCAAACACATTAACACAGCCACTACAGAGTTAATTAAATTTTAACATCTTTCATTTAACCCATTTCCGCAAAGTAACGCCTGATTGTATTAATAATAAAAGTCATTTATTAGTAATACGTAATTTATAGTATGCACTGCACAGAGGTAACTCGAGAGAATCCACTACCATCTGCTGGGTGTGGTAAGAGACGAAGGGAGAAATGGGAGAGGAGACGGGCATGGGCATCCCCTGATTACAACTCAAAGGATTAAAAATTGCGATTACCTACCCTAGCCTGGGTACTATGGCAACTATCTCTATCAGGCAATCTATGGGGGGAGTTATATGTTCAGCAAAGAGAGATTTCCCAAAAACTAAAAAGGGAAGCACTTCTGATTTGCAGGTGATATTCGAATGGTTTTCAAAATAATAATTTCCTTTATTATTATTTTTATAAAGTGGAAGTGATAAACGAACTTACCGTTCGCATCTTACTAGGGTTCCCTATAGTCAATACTTACGACACCCACATGACGATATCAGGTGACTGATTACCACTTTACGGCTCGCAATTTTATTATTAACTTTCGGCAGGCAACACTTTTTTACATACACAAATGGCAACAGGGATGACGTATCACCCCATATTTTTTTAAATTCAAATTAAACTGCAATGTTTGAGAGAACCAAAGTTGTTTATTATGAAACTAGATGTAACCCGCGGCTTTGCCCGCATGGTCACTGGGAAATGAACTATCCATTGCTTTTTGAATTGAAAGAAAACCGAGTTTTATAGATTTGTCAGAGATGTAGCCATTAAAAGGAAACTTGGCAAAATTGATTCGTCAGCCTATTTAAATGTTTTGAAACGCAGCGTATAGGAAATCATGAAAATAGCCTATTTACACCAATGGAAATGGGATATTTTTTTAATTAAAGGAAACTGAGCATAATTATCCGTCAGGGATGCAGACTTTTATAAAGAAACTGAGCTAAATTGATTCGTCAGAGATGCAGTTTTCTGAATTGAAAGGAAACTGAGCCAAATAAAAGATCCGTCAGAGATGCAGCCTTTTGAGTTGAAAGGAAACTGAGCTTAATAGGTCCGTCAGAGGTGCAGCATTTGGAATTGAAAAGTAACTGAGCAAATCCTGGAGCGTTCGATTTAGTGCTTCTACTGCTTTTTTATGCGACATTGTATTTTCGTCCCACACTAAAAGTTTGCATTGTCGTAGCATTATACCTCGTGCACTATTTTTGCTAAAGTTACAGATCGGCGATTCTTCCTGGGCTAGATTTAGAGGGAGATTTAGAAGGATCTGCTTAGCAGTGTGGCGGCTATACCGGAGGAAGCTACGGCCACAGCAATGTTTTTATCTTTCCGTACTTGCGCTAATAATAAATTTAACAAAAATGTCTTCCCAGTTCCTCCAGCGGCATCTAAAAAGAAAAGTGCACCATTTCCAGATTCAATTTGTCCTAATACTTTGTCAAAAACTCGTTTTTGTTCGGGAAGCAAGCGGGGTACAAATTCGGCTACTTGCTGCTGCAAAGCTGGTAAATCGTAGTTTGTTTCACGTATAATTTCATCACTTAGTTCATTTCGATTGTTCGCTGAGGGCTTATCATTCCAATGTCGCTTAATTTTTTGCCTACCATTGCCATTACTTTATCTTCAATTTTTCCAAGTGCTTCATTATAAATGTGTTCATTGTATGTCATGTTTGCGTGTGTCTGCTGTAACCTTCGCAAAATATCTTCCGCCATGTACTCTTTATATTTGTCCCACAATTCATGTGCATTAGATAGCCCGCAAGATGATATGAGAGTGCCTAAAGATCCCTAATTTTGGCTGGTGACTGGCACTGCACAACTACTTATTCCCGTGGGAAAATAGAATATTAACGGGAATGAACCGTTTTTCCGCGGAAAAAAGTATCCTATGTCACTCTACAGCCACCGAACTATCCCCATACCAAAATTCATGCCATGCCGACGCTCTGTTGCGACGTGAAGAAGGACAAACAAACAAACAAACAAACACACTTTCGCATTTATAATATTAGTATGGATAGAGTCGAATATTCAGTGCAATGTAGTTGTGAAACGTAGCCTGTGATGCGGTCGAGCTTTCCTCCGGTCAAACGATCAATATAAATAGTGCAAGATGTTTCTGATAAAGTATTCAACAGGTTCAATTCATCTGGAACAGTTCAGTTTTAACGTGTAAAAGTTGGTAGATTTTTTTATATATAAAATTAATAATAATTTAATTATTATTCATTTTAACCGCATTGGTTTAGGACGTTAATAAGTTGGAGTAGAGATGTACATATTGTCGCTATTGTATGTTCTCTTTGCCCACTTTCGGCCATAATCAAATGCGATCTGAAGTTACCAGCGTACCAATTCAGCTAAGCAGGACATCCTATAGTGCAACAATATTACTATCAAACATAAAAATACATTATTTATACAAGTGAGGGTGACAAATAAGTACGCTGCCTACGTAATGGTTAGTGGATGCAGTGGCCCACAAAATGCTGTGGCCCATATAAAGATTCGTTGCCACCTTTAGGAATAAAGATGGTATTTATATAACCAGCAAAATTGAATTTAGTTCTAGTAACTATAGTAACTAACTATACGAAAGCAGCCTACAGCTGCTAGCTATTTTTCGCTGGTTTTCTGTGAGAACGCGAAATTTCCGCGGTCAAGCTGAACCGTTTGTACTTCAGCTATAATGTCATCTCATATGTGGTAGTTTATATATGGATAGGGCTCTCATAGAATACTGGTAAAATGCAGTTGAATCTTGTTTTTGGTGTAGAGATGACCTTTTTTACTGGAGTATTTTTGGGGTGTTCTTTAATAAAAATTATTTTTTCTTCTTTTGTAAGTGTGTTCTAGTTCACCACGGCTGAACCACCGGTTGCGTGAGTTGGGTTTGATTGTTCTATAGTAGATGAATTTTTTTACCGTCTGGAAAAAGCAGTGGGTTACAGGTGAACGGAGTAGAAGTCTAAGGCACTGATATTTTACTTTTTTTTTTTGCTTTCACATCAACATATTTTTATGAAATTGATCTATCAATAAATACTACTAATTTGAAATAAACTTTCGGTACCAAAAATTTTGAACTAAATAAGTAAATCAATTAAAAACTATCCAAATAAAAATAATACGCACCCAAGTAGTAGTATTTATGGATAGATCAATTTCATAATATGTTAATGTAACAAAAAATGTAAGATATCAGTGCCGTAGGCTTCTATTCCGTTCACCTGGTACAACCAATTTTTTTTCAGACGGTAAAAAATTATTCAGTATTTCTTACGATGTTAGTAAATTAAATAACACTAAGTAAAAGTCAAATTTTTCATTAATTTTGGTTTGCATAAATCATTATGTTTGAAGTCAAGAATAATAATTATGTCCTCCAGACCGAATTTCGGCAACGGCGGCCTGCCTCAGCGGAAGCTAGCCATCGGCGCAGGACAGGATTACAGTGCCGTAGTGTATGCGCAAGCACAAGTGCACTCTTTATTCCCTCTCACTCTCATAATCCGATGGGACGATAAACCTGACTCCGGGCAACTACTGAACATTTCTTGATGGAAAAATTCAATAATTAATTTTATTGGCCTAACCCGGAATTCGAACACAGGACCTCATGGTCTGCAGTCGTACTACTACAACCACTAAACCAACGAGGAAGTCAAGAATACTAACGTTACAGCCTATTAAAGTGCACTGCTGAACATAGACCTCCTGTACAGATTGCCTCATAGGGGGATATTTGGCATAGTTCTTGCCGTATTCTATTTTTAGTCGTTACTGGAAAGATGTTGCTGGACATCTTCTAGTTTGTTTCCCTGTGTCGCCTGTTACGACAGCCACGGAATGATATGAGGCAGTGGATATTCTTACTCCGCCACTACACGGTAAACGCGGTAAGCGGTAAAAAAGCTAAAAGCCCTAATAAAAGTTATTATTTCCACGCATTCTTATCTTTTGAACAAATTAATTTAATAATACTTGACATAAAGTCATTTTTTTGTACATTTTTGTCTTTATGTTTTGACATTTTAATACATATAAATTATGTGTCACGTTGTTTGTCCGCGGTGGACTCCTAAACTACTTAACCGATTTTAGTCAAATTTGCACACCGTGTGCAGTTTGGTCCTACTTCAGAATTAGAATAGTTTTTTGCCCATGAGTGACCCACAATTTTTTTCGCGAATTTAAAGATTTTTAATGAGGTATGACAAAGGGTCGTCGAAAAGGGCAGAACAACGTCTGCCTAGCAAGCTAGTGTCATATATATCATATATCACATAGCATATTAACACATCTTTATATTTTATTTCTTGACATAATTTTTATCTTTATAATCATTTACGAGTAGTATCCTACAATTTTTCAATTAAAAAAAGTGGATTTATGTCACTTGTACTATAAAATAATGTACGATACACGGAACTATGAAGTCTATACTGCATGCACGGAACATAATATGTAACCGATTATTAAAACGTGTGAAGCTAGTGCATTCGCATCGCTCGCGCGCTAACTTCACACAATTCAATAATCGGCTACTCTATTCCCTTGTATTGTAATATACTATTGACTATTTCTAAAAATTCCAAATTTATTAATTAAATGCTTCAAATTAATTAAAATTGATATTTTAACAGTAAGCTTTCCTTACTAAATTTTAGGGATAGTTACTTAGCAGTAACCCGATCAGGTCACGGAGAGTCTTCTCAACAATATTTACCGGACTTACCTGAAACATCTGTACGAGGTTCCAAAGCATTTACTAACACCAATTCTGACCGATATCATGGACCAAACACTAGAAGAATTTCTCAAGAATAGGGACCTCCTAGCTTCCGTGGCGGACTATCTCATGAATATGGAATTCCCAACTTGCGCAGTGATAGGTACAGAATTTGGGAGTAAATTATTACAGGAGTATGCACCGTCAGTTCATCACTCACATTAGTACGACTCTATTAGCTCTTTGGGATAGAGTTTTTCAGCGGTTAATTCAAAAACAGGAACATCTCAACGGTACGGTGCTGTAAGAACGTCTCCTTCGGACGTATACAGAGCTCCATCACTCAGATCGTCTCCAACCACACAATACGGCGCCCCTGAATTTCAACCAACGAATACTGAAGAATACAATGTCTCATTCCAAAGAAACAGTGTGCGAATACTAGAAGCTCTTCGCCCATTCAAAAGTACGGTGTGCCCAAATCTCGTAGTAGCCAGTCGGGCACTGGCTCCGTATCTCAGGAATATTTATTTTCTTCAAGATCTAATACACAGCAGGCGCACAGGACTTTAGAAGATTTCTCATTTGGAACACAAAGTTTCACCAAATCATCAAGAAACAGTCATTCCCAAATTAATGGAACACCAGCTAACTCTCTGGCGACTCAGTATTATGACGAATCTGATGTGTTGTCGACCATGTTCAATAGACCTAATGGAAGGAGTACCTCTCAGGAATATGGTGTGCCAGAAACAGGAGCAGCTTTGAAATCAAGCACTCTTGCATCATCTCATCCATCAGCTAGGTATGTATAATGTATTTAATATATAGTTATAAGTGTTTCGTCTGTGTTAACTAAAAGGCTACATATTTGGTACTACGACTAGATAGTCGCCAATACGACTACTTAGCGTTTATTTGTGAAAAATAACTATATAATAAGCTTCCCTTGTTTATAAAGGGATTATGGTTGATTAAAACTACTTTTACGGATTTTATTGCGTTTATTTTTACTTTTTATTTACTTTTATTTTTAATTCCCGACGTTTCGGGCGCTTTCCAGCACCCATGGTCACGGGAGACTGAGGTGACTGACGTTCCGACGTCATTGTTAAACCCGGAGTACCTTCAGCTTTTTTAATTATTGTTTATGGTCCGATCTATGCAAAATGAACTATGTCCTGAGGTCTTGCAGTGGTATGCTTGGGTTTGGTTTTAATTTTATTGATTGTAGGATCCCAAGCAGGTGGTAGTACCCAGCCTCCTTCTCTATTGAAATTAGGATGTTTTTTAATTTCAATAGCCTCACGTATCATCCTTGGTAGGAATCGGTGTTCTTTCGCGAGGATTTGTGGTCTATCAAATCTGATGTAATGGTTGGGTCCGTCTAGGATATGATCACAAACTGCAGACTTCCCGGAACGTTGATGCTTCACATCAGCTATATGTTCTTTTACGCGGGTCCTAATTGATCTTTTTGTTTGTCCTATATAAGAGAGACCACATTCACAATCAAGCTTGTACAAGCTTAACAATAATTAAAAAAGCTGAAGGTACTCCGGGTTTAACAATGACATCGGGACGTCAGTCATCTCAGTCCCCCGTGACCATGGGTGCTGGAAAGCGCCCGAAACGTCGGGAATTAAAAATAAAAGTAAATAAAAAGTAAAAATAAACGCGATAAAATCCGTAAAAGTAGTTTTAATCATGTATAGTGTTCGCGTAAATATAAGAAATCATTATGGGATTATAGTTCTTTGACTCTTGTCATGGGGTGTATATGCTGTAGATACTTAAAAATTTTAGATATTAGAAAGACTATTTATTTTATATCATTAGTTTACAAACGAGCACATAGTCCACCTGATGGTAAGTGGATGCTGTGGCCTATAGACTTCCACATTTATTTTAAATTTAAAATCAAAATGCAAATACATCGTCACCCCTGAGGACTAAGATGGAATGCCTGAATTCCAGTAAAAAGGATCTCCGGTTCTCTACACTCACCATACGATAAGCGTGTCCAGACCGTGGTCCTACCCCGGTCGAGCCGATCCATTCGTGCTACAACTATAACGTAGCTGAGCGTGGCTCTACCACGTAAAAAATAGACCAATATCACGGTTCAATGTATTAGACTAAGCAAAACTCTGAATTTCTTCTCTTGCTCCAGGTCTAATAATAAACAATCATGTCAATAGTTTTCTTGGCCGTTCGTTATGCGTACAGAAATGAAGAGAATAGTCATTCGTTTACAATGTAGGAGTCTTTTAAGCAAAATTATTGCGCTTTAACATTCTTCATCCATTTAACATCATCACTCACCATCGGGGTAGTTAGTCAAGCACTGGTTTACCATAGTAAAATAAAACGTATTGTACAGTAAGTCTATATGCATGGCAGAAACCTTCTGGTGATCGTTTTTATACGTGGTAGAGCCATGCTGCAGTTATATTAGTAGTATAGTTGTAGCACGAATGTGTCGGCCGGACCGGAGAAAGACCACGCTTTCACAGATTACCAGCGTAAAATAGTAGCTTAATGCTGCTGTGTTCCGTATGGTGAGTGTAGAACCGGAGACCCTTTTTACTGGAAACGAGACATTTCATATTAGTCCTCACGGGTGACACCGCATCTGCATTTTTATTCGTAATCGAGGGTAGATGTAAATGACTATTGGCAATTGCACCACTTACTATCAGAACCCCCAAAAAAAAATTATATCCAATACTTTGGACACACTGGTGATTCTTAATAAACCAGGCCACTACACAAGAGATAATATTCATCTTGGGTTTAACAGATCATCATCTCGGGAATACGGTGCACCATCATCTCGTACCGCCATGCCCTCGCCGCAGTACGGGGCTTCAAGAAACCTCGACGGATACTCAGATTAGAGCTACGAGAGCTATGCAAGAAATTCTTTAGAATTGCTTAATCAGGTAAAAACTACGAAGTCAAGTAAACGAAATATTACAAGTAAGCAAGTACAAGGATATCGAAGCGTTAAACAGCGGGGTAAGAAAATCCGCTACCTCATCTCATGCCGTAGGTGTCGTAAGTGGGGATAGAGGGAAGCTGAAACAGGATATAGGCAGCAGCATTTTTCTTTTGCCATCCCGACTTGCAAGCGTGGCAACTATAGCAAAAGCATACATGACAATCTAAAGGGGAGGCCAATTAAGGCGCTACTCCTAGCGAACTACCTGCAGCATTCGGTTCTATACATTCCACGCGCTCTCTCTACAATAATATATCGCGTAAGAAATTCGATTTTATAAATAAAATATTTTAAAATATTTTCTTTATAAAATCGAATATTTATCTTTTGAAAAAATTAAATAGATCAAAATGTTCATTAATTAATTGCCTATCCGTTAGTGGCAATTGCAAAATAAAAAAGTTTGGAAAATCCAAAAGTACACGCATTATAATCTCATTTGATTATATAAAAGAAAAAAATATATCTTTTTTCTATATTTGAGACGAAAGAAGAGATCCATGAGAATATTTTTTTTATAGAAAAGTACAAGTTGTTTTTTACATTTTCATTAATTACAATTAAACGAGAACAAATTACTCAGTGATTTTTTAAAGGAACCTGTGCGTTGAGATTCTAAACCTAATAAAAAAAGAATTATTTTGATACATTAATTCTAACGACTACGATTAATACAGACTTCCGGGTACCCTCGATAATTTTTTTCAATTAGTTTGTATTTACACTAAATACAAAAAATTACTTTTAAAAATAATAGAAACATGAAAACGAGTGATTTTTCTCGATATATGTGTATTTTTATTATTCTTAAATTGCGGTCGTTAAAAATGAAAACATTTTAAGATCAGTAAATTACTGGATTTCCATTGTTAGCGTATTTTAATCTATACATCTATACATATAATAAAACAGTAACGAAAGAAAAACTGTACATTGAGAATTTTCGAGAAAAAATTAGTGGCTTTTGTTAGAAAAACGTAACTAATGATAAAAAGTGACTTTTTACAATTTTTGTCTGTTTCAGACATTTTCAGACAAACAGACGTTTGTCTGTGTGTGGTACAGAACACGCCACGCCAAAACTACTGGATAGATTGAATTGAAATTAAGCAAAAATGTTCTTTGTTTACCAAGGAAGGCTTTAGGCTACATATTATCACGCCGTATGTTATAGGAGGTAAGCAATATTGATTTCAAAAAGTTTTTCTTCGTAATTGAATGCACAAAATAATCATTTAAAGATTACTTGGTAAATACAAATTATTCATATTATAATAAACCGAAATTACGTTCATTTTTTTGCTCCATATTGTGATTTACAATACTTTAATGCACAACCAGGCATATTTTCATTAAAAATGCTGTGACCACGCACATGTATTACACCCTCTAACGAAATATAGCAATACTACACTGAATATTTACTTAGAAAACATTTTAGCTATTTCCCAGTAGGTGACACTACTAAACATAAGGTTAAAATCCTATGTAGGCACATCGTTAATCACTAACGTATTTGTAAATAAATAGTGACGTTACTGGATAACAGAGGGCACTTATTACAATAACGATTTTTCTTTCTTCTCGAACAATATACTAGAAATAATAACATTTAAAGATTACTTGGTAAATACACATTATTCTTACGATAATAAACCGAAATCACGTTCATTTTTTTCTCCATATCGTGATTTACAATACTTTAATGCACAACCAGGCATATTTTCATTAAAAATGCTGTGACCACGCACATGTATTACACCCTCTAACGAAATATAGCAATACTACACTGAATATTTACTTAGAAAACATTTTAGCTATTTCCCAGTAGGTGACACTACTAAACATAAGGTTAAATCCTATGTAGGTACATCGTTAATCACTAACGTATTTGTAAATATATAGTGACGTTACTGGATAACAGAGGGCACTTATTACAATAATGATTTTTCTTTCTTCTCGAACAATATACTAGAAATAATAACATTTAAAGATTATTTGGTAAATACACATCATTCTTACGATAATAAACCGAAACCACGTTCATTTTTTGCTCCATATCGTGATTTACAATACTTTAATGCACAACCAGGCATATTTTCTTTAAAAATATTTTTAAAATTATAAAATGAATGCGTCTTGACCTTTTAACGATGTCACTTAGACTAAATGACGAAAATCGGAGATATATCCTATAGGACAAAAGTTACAGATGACAATTATGTTACTGATGTCCGGTCTATTACTACTACCTATTTAAATGTCTTTGCTTACTAAGCAAATTTGTTGTAATTAATTGATTTAAGTATGTAATTCTTAGTTTTGTTCCTTGCTGCTGTTACTATATTTTTTTAATGCAAAAATAATGTACTTGTCTGTTAAATTAACTACAATTTAGTTTTAATTCGTGATTTAATTAATTCATTTGGGTAAATAATATGTAGTTTCCATTTTCTAACTAGATGTCGTTGGCGTTGAGTTAGATCGCGCTATGGTTTCGTCCTCAAAAAGTGATGTTATAGGTGCCGATGGGCCGCTCTCATCCTATCGAAACGGCAGTTACATTTGTTGTCTGTGTTGGTTGATGTGTTTAATTTTCCTGCGAATAATTATTATTCTACTTAACAGCAATTCTTACGTTAAGTACGTTCGATTACTTTTCATTTTTATTTTTATTGTTTTGAATATCGTTAGTATCGGACTATCGGATTAAGAAGGAATTTTCGAAAATTCTTTCTTAATGATTTTAGCTATGCCTTTTAGAAAAAGATCAAATCTGTCTCGAAACTCAAAGATTTCCAAGATGCGCAGGTTAGTTCGATCTTGCGAAACCGACGCAGAGCGTGAACAACGGCTGGGTGCTAACCGTGAGCGTAATGCACTAAGTTTGTCCGCAGAAACTAGGACTTTAGAATTTAAACGAGTTCGCACTACCGCTTCTCGATCTCAGGAAAGTGTGCAACAACGGAGAAATGCGTTTAGCTATCGACCGGGGTCGTCATTCTTTGTCTCGCGCATCCGAAACGGTTACACAGAGGGATCAGAGGTTCAGTCTTCAGAATATCCGCTCTGAGACTGCTCGATCACTTGAGAGCAGTCAGGAGCGTGAGATACGACTTGCGCGTGACCGAGAGCGTCATTCTTTATCTCGCGCTTCCGAAACGGAAACAGAGAGAGAGCAGAGATTAAGTCTTCAGCTTTTCCGCACTGAGACTGCTCGGTCGCTCGAGAATAGTCAGGAGCACGATACACGCCAAGCAAGCGATCGCGAGCGCCACGCAGTATCTCGCGCTTCGGAGACTTACACGCAGAGAGACTCGCGTTTAAGCTCCCAACGTATTCGCACGGCCACATCTCGATCACTTGAGAATCCTGAAGAACGTGAGACGCGACTTAGTGCAGACCGCTCACAGCATGCTTTAGCTCGGTCTTTGGAGACAGACGAGCAGCGCGAGCAACGCAACGCACTTGCTCGGCAAAGATATCACGACATGCGTGCTGAAGTGTCTGTTCATTCCACGCAAGAACGTGAGCGGATTCAGGAAATTCGGGAAAGTCAGTCAGTCGAACAGCGTGTGGCCCAAATTGATCTAGACCGTATACGTCGCAATCTTCGCAATTCATCCTCATCTGATATTGAGTCTATGGTTTATGATCTTAAAGAGCAACCGTGGTTCAATAAAAAAAGGAGCGCGTTTTCCTATAATCCATTTATTAATTACATCGAACACGGAGACATTGACACCATGTCTAAGGTTTGTGCACACTGTCACGCACGTAAGTGGAAGGGAGAGACTAAGGGAATGTGTTGTGCGTCTGGAAAGGTACGACTAAACTCTATGCAAGAGCTAGCGGAGATCTTACGAGTTCTTTTGAATAGCGAGCATCCCAAGTCCAGCCATTTCTTAAGCAATATTCGAGCCTACAACAGTGCTTTCCAGATGACTTCATTTGGAGCTCATCAAGTCACTGAATCTGGATTCATGCCGACTTTTAAAATTCAGGGGCAAATCTACCATCGGATAGGTTCCCTGCTTCCCACCGAAATGCCGAAATTTTTGCAAATATATTTCATTGCAGATTTTGCTGAACAGGCTAATGTCCGATGCCGACACATACCTAATTTAGACTTGAGCCTTATAAGGGAATTAAAAAAACACTCTGCTTAGTGTCAACCCATACGTTACCGATTTCAAAACCGCTCTGGAATCGGTGCCTGAACACGAGCGCGATAATTTTAAATTCATTATTAGCGCAGACAAAAGACCGAACGCAGCCTATCCAGGACGATATAACGCACCAACGTTAAACGAGGTAGCCATCCTCTTGGTTGACCAGGATTGCGACAAAAGAGACATTGTTTTACGCACACGTGATGATCGCCTACAGCATATCAGCGAGACACATCGCGCTTATGATACCCTACAGTATCCCCTAATATTTTGTCGCGGAGAGGTTGGCTATCACTTTGCTGTATACAATGTAGACCCGCAGACAGGTGCCCCAAATTATAACAAAAAGACTTCCGCCCTCCAGTTTTACAGTTACATGATTCAGCTCCGTTCCAACGACAACTCTCATCTCCATTATTACCGTGCACTCTTTAGTCAATTTCTGGTAGATGAGTATGCCAAAATTGAAACGGAGCGGTTGGTGTTCATTAGAACGAATCAACGGAAACTAAGGGCGGAAAACTACGTGCACCTAAGGGACGCCATGCGAGAGGACTCTAACGCGGAAATATTGGACGGATGGTGATACTCCCTTCCACCTTTACGGGAGGTCCGCGGTACATGCATGAGCGGACACAGGACGCATTCTGTTACGTGCGCAAGTACGGTCGACCGGACCTCTTCATCACCATCACTACCAACCCTAAGTGGCCCGAAATAACCAGCGAGCTCTTAGCAGGGCAGGTGCCACATGACAGGCACGACTTGATTTCTCGGGTGTTTCATTTAAAATTAAAGTGCCTGATGGATCTTCTCACAAAAGAAAAACTATTTGGTGCTACCAGATGCCACATGTATTCGGTAGAGTGGCAAAAACGCGGCTTGCCCCATGCGCATTTGCTTTTGTGGTTGAAAGATAAAATCAGGCCCAACGAGATCGATGATGTCATAAGTGCTGAGCTACCAGATCCCAACGTTGACCCCGTTCTGTATCAAATTGTAAAGGATCACATGGTGCATGGTCCTTGCGGAGCCCTAAATCGCAATTCTCCTTGCATGAGGGACGGACGGTGCTCAAAAAGGTTCCCGAAGCGATTTAGCAGCGAAACACTTACAGGTGAGGATGGATACCCTTCATACCGGCGTCGATCTCCTGCTGAGGGTGGCAGTCATGCCGAGTTAACTATGCGTGGCCAGGCAGTCGAGATCGACAACAGGTGGATAGTTCCATACTCACCTGTACTTTCCAGGACGTTCAGTACCCACATTAACGTCGAGTCGTGCACAAGCGTACAGTCGATTAAATACATCTGTAAATACGTCAACAAAGGTAGTGACCAGGCAACGTTCGCTTTACAGAGTACTGACAGGGATGAAGTGACCAAGTACCAGTCTGGTCGCTACATCAGCACTTCTGAGGCGGTTTAGCGGATACTGGCCTTCTCCATACACGACAGGCATCCAACAGTCATGCATTTAGATGTCCATTTAGAGAATGGCCAGCGCATTTATTTTGACCCTGATAACGTTACCGTCCGCAGGAACCAGCAAATGATGGGTGGCGTTACAGTTCTATTTAACGGCGATTTCCGACAAACGCTGCCTGTGGTGACGCGAGGAACTAGGGCTGATGAGGTGAATGCTTCGTTGAAATGCTCTTTCTTATGGCCACATATTCATAGGTTGCGCTTAACGATGAATATGAGAGCACAGCTTGGCTGGAATGTACACGCCCAAGAATTTTCTGATGTTCTCTTAAAATTAGGTGAGGGAACGTTACCAGTAGACAGTGGCCAGGTGGTTCTACCTGAGATACTTGGGAGAGTGGTGTCCACCTTAGAAGATTTGATTCGCCTGGTGTACGGGGACATCAATAGGATACCGAACCAAGATAATTCTTGGGTGTGTGAACGAGCCATTTTAACACCCAAAAACGACCAAGCTTCTACGATCAATGAATGGATTCTCGTCGAAATTGAGGGAAATGAAGTGATCTACACTTCAATAAACGCTATGGTCGACCGAGATGACGCTACACATTACCCCGTAGAATTTCTCAATTCCCTCAGTGCAAGTGGACTGCCAGCGCACACCATTAAGTTAAAGGTCGGTGTCCCAATTATGCTTCTTCGGAATCTCACTCCGCTAAAACTGTGCAATGGGACCCGGCTCAAAGTCGTCTCGCTGCAGACTAAATATCATTGAGGCGGAAATTCTAACGGGTTGTGGTGTCGACGAAACAGTGTTTATACCACGTATACCACTGATTCCCCACAATTACCCCTTTCAAATCAAGCGCGTGCAGTTTCCTGTGAGCGTGTGCTTCGCCATGACAATAAATAAGTCGCAGGGGCAGACACTCAAGGCTACGAGTGTCGAACTCAGGACGAGCTGCTTTTCACACGGACAACTGTACGTGGCTTGCTCCCGCGTCACCAGTCCTGACTCGCTGTACATATTGAATGAGACCGAGGGAAAAACAACGAACGTTGTTTACACAGAAGTGTTACAGTAAATTACAACACTTCTGTTATTCGACGTCACCAAAATTTCCTTATTAACCTGACGTCTTTTACCAGTAAATTAACTACATAACTTTCAAATTTGAGTTTACTAAGTTTTTGAGGTAGGTATCTAAGCTTTAGTATAAGTATGGGATGCGTCCTTTGAGTGTTTCTGTAAATCTACAAACTATCACTAACTATTATTAAAATAAAAATAGAATAAAAAATAGTTATGCGATACGTGGGCAAAGCCACGTGTACAGCTATAATTTATAAAGTATTTTTTTGTAGTGCGTTCCGCACCGGATCGGTGAAATATACGGGATGAAAAGTTTTTTGTTGTATAGGTGTTAAGTCTAGGCAACATTTAGGCTATAATTTATTTTGGAAAATGGAACACCTGGTGCACAACCGCAACAGACCAGCTAAAGTATAAGAGATATAAAAATGATGCCATAGCAAAAAGTATTCCACGTGAAGAGTATTTTCTGCTGTGAGAATAAATTTGAAAATCTGGAACACCTGTTGTGGAACTCCAAAGCCCAGCGACACTATAACATATATAGGAATGACGTCTTAGCAAAAGTTGTTTAGTCTGATGGGTATTTCCTGTTGACTTACAAAAAATGAAAGATCTGGAACGTCTCGAATTGTTTGGCGCATCACGTTGTTTTCCCGTCCCCGGGCTCTTTGAATTTGATTTTGACGACCCCGTTGTCGCTGGCATAAGCAACATGATCAGCGTACGAAGTCGCGTGCAGAAGCTAGTAATTTATATTGTTGTAACTAACATGATGGGTAATTAATTATTTTCATCCTATAAAGTCTGCGGGTACATTAATGTATTAGATTATGTCTAGTTATTTATTTTTGCTTATATTTATAACTAGAATATAAAACTGTTTAAGATAATTATAAGAAATATAAATAATGTTTTATAATGTAAAAACTTACGGCTTAATATCCAATTTTATAAAAACTTGTAACGGAAACCACACAAGCAACGCCATCTGAAGTTTAGCACTGTTAAATTACAAGCCTTTATAAGACAGATGTCGTCGGTTTGAGCGGCAGCGATAAGCGGCAGCCTTACTAAAATTGTTGAATAGAGAATACGTACACGGAAGATAAATTGTGAGTAATAATAATTATTGTTATACCTTGTTATTTGTGTGTCTAAAATGTACATTGTTATTATTATGAATATCTATAACCTTGTTTAGATTTATGATATTTTATGCTGTTAATAAAATACATGATGTTACTTACATATTAAGCGACTTTACTTAACACCATTATTAGGTGAGAGTAGAGCACAAATTCAACGCTTCGCTTATGAGACGTGTAATAACGTTTGCTTTATGAGGAGATGTATGTCATCAATAATTTTTATATAATAATTTCTTATTATTAATAATTAATTCGCATTTCTGTGGTTTAGTTGTAGGAAGATTCATTAAGTATTTACTCCTTTAAAAAAACTGGAATTGGCTATTATGGAATCAAGATTCTGTACAAATGTAATAGGTTTTTTATTAGTTGATTGTGTACAAATGTAATAGGTTCTTTATTAGTTGATATATCATTTTAATAAGAGGTAGATAACTCCTAAAAACGTCACAAATAACGTCTAGCGCTGCATTTTGCACAAACACGCAACTTAAGGGAATTGATAAATACTACTAAATGTATCAATGCCATTAATTATTCATTCAATAAAGACTATCGAAGACCACTGCTGAACATACCCGGGGGGGGTCACTCCATAGGTTACCTGATAAGGGGGGATATTTGCCACAGTTGCCACGTTTGGTGGGTAGGTTGGTAACTGCAGTTTGTTTTATTTTCTAGTCGTTATTATGAAGACGCTGTTACCTTTGTATTTCTCTGTCTCACCTCTTGCGACACCCACGGGACGATATGGTGTACTGGATATTCTTACACGCTACTACACGTTCTATTACTCAAACTTACTAATTAAAATACGCAGGAACCAGCGAACTAGGAGTTCTCCTACAAAGTGAGCGACTACGAGAGCGGAAGTGACTTTGGCTACGCGGAAAACCGGCAGGACGATAAAGCAGAAGGGACGTACTTTGTCGCTTTTCCTGATGGAACCAAACAGGTACGTTGAAATCATCTTCATCAGCTCTAATGCTTTGGAATCCGAGTAAATTCCACCTATCTATTTCTGCAAACACAAATGCGAATACTATTGTATTTTAGTGTAGTAAGGCTCACTGAAATACAATATATAAATTTTCACAGTACGCAAGCAATTTTAAGCGTTGATTTACCACGTGCTCCACGATGAAAAAAAACATCGTGAGGAAAGCTGCATGTCTGAGAAACAAAAAAAATATTTCGAAGACGTGTCGAGTTCTCTCATTTTTCTTACAGCCAATATACGTTCTACGTAGGACGTATGTAGGCTGTAACTTTACAGTAAGACAGTCAGCATTGTAAGAGGTTGTGAATGTTAATTCATTGTTTACTGGGAACAAGACATTCCATCTTAGTCCTTAGGAGTGACAATGCATCTGCATTATGATTCATCATCAGATACAGATGTATATGTCTATGGGCTACAGCACCCACTTGCCATCAGGTGGAACGTGTGCTCGTTTGTCACCATTCTTCTACGAATTGAAAAATAAACTTACAGTCCACCTGATAAAACGTTGCAGCAATCAGTTTTTTCACCTGCAACCAACATAAATAAAGAATTGGTATCAATGAGGACTAAGATGGAATACCTCATGGCCTGTTATTATACTGGGTTTCTCTACATCTGTTATACACTTCAGATATGGATGATAATAACCCCTGGGTAGAGTGATACCGAGCTGTTTCTAATTTATTGAGTTGTTAATAGTAACATACATGATTGTAAGCTGATATTTAAAAAAATCCCGCTGGCTTTCTTGCTGGTTTTTCCCAGGATAGAGTTTTTATTCCGAGTCAGCGGTGAATTAAAAAAGTGACTTTCAATAAGTATTATTTATAATCTATATTGAATAAAAAAAGTTTCTGTTTCTGTTTTGATCTTTTACTTTTATCCTTGGACTACAGTAGCTAGTTTCTATAATTTGTCAACACACAGAAGTGTACAAACAAGTATATTTTTTTAAACTTTGTCCTAAGAAATTAATATACCACGTTTTTTACCTACAATTTCTGATTCTGAGCTATGATCCAAATTTCAAATCCTTAGCCCATCGGAAAGTATTCAAAATTTGAATTGCAAGATTCCACCCGGAACGGCAGAAAAACTAAAGTGACATGAACGTGGTAAAATTAATATATTTTCATGACATGTATTCTGTTCTTTCCAGGTGGTAGAGTACGAGGCTGATGAAGATGGATTCAAGCCAAGGATCTCGATTATACCAGCCGACACTGCATCTAGCTGCGCAGGTGACGGGCCTTATTAACACAACTTCATAATCCTATTAGAAAAGACGACAGATTACTGTAAGATTTAATATTTATATAAGTCAAAACTAGCAGTATGTAATAATGAAATAGAAAATAAATAAATTAGAAATGTGTTTTAATTTGTTCTGTAACCAAAGATTATATTTGTTGGCGACGCAAGATAAACACATAACTAAATTTTTTATTGTTTCTTAATATTATGATGCTCATAGATGTATGGAATCCCGTACTATGCTGCATCAAAATTGATTTTTTATAGACTATACTGATCATATCAACTACAAAAGTCCTTTTTAAAAAACCGGGTTTGGAGTTATTTTATAAAATCAAAAATAACCTAAAAACTGTGTAGGTCTATTTTTTCGACGTACCTACGACCTATTTTAAATAGACACCTTAAACATGGACGAACATTATTTCTCTAAAAACAGTAATCTACTAATATTAGTAAGAATTACGATTATAGCTACATATGTCCGCGCCATTGGATGTGGATGTGAAACTCGGATATTTGCTCCATGTTTATACATATTGCCAATACTATGAGTGGGTAGCGTATCTAAAGGTAATACATATGTACGGCCTGAAAATGCGAATACATGCGAGAACTGGAATAAATGAGTTATATAGATTAATAAGGACCCGATGATCCCATGATCGGGGAAAAGCATATAAAAAAAGGTAATACATAATGGGATGTAACCGTGATCATACTACCACACCATTATCAATAATTCATCATAAGGGTAACCAATCGGACCTAAAAAACGCTCGTTGAGTCTAAATGTTTTAATGATCTAAGATAAGATACAATTCATGACAGACACTATTGCTCAAGCTCATGTTCTTGTGAATCAATTAGGTAAGTGATAGAAAAAAATATAGTAAAAGATAGGCTGGAAGAAATTACTGTATGAGACTATCTTTTGCTTTCTTTCTATGTTTACTTATTTTATTATATGTTTTATTTTTAAGGTGCAATTAAAAATATTTTATTATTGCACTGTATATATATAATTCATAGAATATATCCAACAATCTTTAAAGAAATATTTTATTACAATCTATTTTCAACAGTGTTTTTATCCAATTTGATATTTACGTTGAAGGTGATATGAATAACGCTGTACGCTACAGTGTAGTACCTATTACAGAATCAAAAGATAAAGAGAAAGAACGCCTTAAGTTTATCAGAGCAGTATCACACACGAAAAACAAAATGTTAGATGCGGAAACTGATTTACAAAGGGTAAAGTAGATAATTTTACTTTTAGTAGTTTTGTTGATGAGTAGCTTTTATTGTATGGGCTAGTTTGATTGTTAATTATATACTATTTAGTTCATATTTAGAGCGAATAAATTAGTCATTTTATATTTATTTGAATTCTCATACTGACTTAAACGAAGCTTTTGGTACAATTTATAAACCAGCGATGTAGCTATTCGCTGCAGCTTTATGTGACCTCGCTACCATTTAAATACTTATAACTAATAAAATAAATAAATAAATTATGGAAACTTGTACTATTTATTTACTGCGATAGTACTGAACTATTTATTTATTTCTTTCTATATTATCGAAGCGCAGCGTAATAAGCTTTAGCGAATTGAGAATATATGTTATAAAATATGTTATTTTAAATTGGATCCCAAATCATTGATTTACAATGTCCCATATCATTAATTTATGAAATGTCAAGGGCCCCAGATAAGGTCCTTGTGGTATCTCCAAAGTGACAATTTAGAACCCTAGACAGTATCCATTGACACATAATGCCTTACTTCGGTTTAGGATTTTTAAGTATTAATTCATCACAAAAGATTGCTGGAATTACTTACTTTTGGAAGTTTATTAATGAGGAGACCACGATTAATTTTGTCGAAACCTTTATAATGACCTTTCTACACAACATTAACTACTAAACGATTCTCGATAGCCTGAAGCAAGAAATTTGTTATGTGACACTTCATAATGGTATGCTATGAAGATTAAACCTAGATTGGTTGAAATAGAATTTAATTTCATTGTTTCTCGAAATCGAGTATTATAAATCGATACTATATGATATTACTTATCAGATTTAGGTGACAATATAAACTTCACCAGCTGGGTTGTTTAAATTTGTTTGATATTACAGCTGCAATGACTGTAATACATGCAAGAAGCATTGTTGATTTAATAAGTGTATGTACAGGACAGTGAATTATGAACATGTTTGACGTTACGTAAACATCATGATTGATTTTGTTCACAGCCGATAAAAACTATGGACGTTAATAATGTAGAAGCTTTGCAGCGGAATATGGCACAACCTCTTGCGCAGCTTAATGCAGCAATAGGGTCACTCGTGAAAGCCACAACGCGTCAGTGATGTAAACTTTATAAAGGCAGTCTTTTAAATTAAGTTATTCACTTTTCGAATCCTCAACAGATCAGTTCATTGGTACCATTTACTCTTTCATCTTCACAATTATATGTACAAGTCCCAGTCTACAAGAATCTTAAACAGGATGTTTTGCTAGCAGTATGGATTTAACTTAAGGCGACACCTTGAAAAAATGCACCTCCTTTCATCGAATAGTATAGGACTATGACACTACTAACGAAAGTGGGATTTTGAAATAGGTAAATTCATGTCTTTATCTTGAATTTGATTGCTCAAAAACACGATTGTATGATTTTGACTCGATCATAATTATTTGCGAAAAGACCTCTAAAAAATCACTATAGTTGAAATTACAACGAAATCATTTGATCTATATGCTTGGGAATCACTCAAATATATTCATAACATCAATATTCAAAATTTGCTTGCTCATTATTTTGATAACTTAAATCAATCATTTTTTTTAAATATTTTAAAATTCTGACAATTTCTAAGCGCTTTTAATCGTCGCGGGCGCTACGCAATTTTAGCCCTTATGACGGCGTTTCTTAAAGTTTTTATAGAAATTATGTATTCACTCGGATCAGTACGGCGATAGCGTTTTCGATGAGTCGTCTTAAGTGTTATAAGGGAAAATCTTTTAAGACTACAACATAATATAATATTTATTAATGATTGACAACTGCGTGTTATATTCAATGATTTCTCGTACTATTTTGACTAAGTTGTAAACTTATACTTTTTCAGTTTCAGATGACGTTGACTATAGTGTTGCGGAGCAATCCATCAGTACAATTACGCAGTTGATTCCGGGCGTGATAGAAGGTACATCCAGTCATGTTATTTTCATGCGGTCTTTCACACAAATTTTACGTTCTGTTTCCTTTTTTTCATTAGCACAAATCGCCAACACCTGGGCTTGTTCCAGTATCTGAAAGATTTGTTGTACTCTCTACACTTATAGGCGAATAGATCACAGTTCCTTACATCTCTTAATTCATATTTTCGGCAGAAATTTTTAATCTTATGTTATAGAAGCAAAGACAGCTATGTCTGATCTATTTTTATTATTACATCGGTATAAATTATTTATTTTTTTATCCGAAAATATATATAAACTAAAAGTGATTTTAGTCTTAATAAAAATTGATAGTCAAAAGAGTTGCATATTGTATAGTAGTATTTTTTGCTAGATTTAGACAGTAAAAGAATGATAGACAAAGCGCTGCACCTACATTTCATGTAACGCTGAAACCAAGCCAAAATCAGATTCTACTTATTGCGTGAACACCAAATTCACCCATAAGCATGTATCTAAAATCATTGGAAACTAGCTGGTTTGGCGTTTTGGTTTTTAACGACCAAACTGCTGGTTCAAATGTATTAAATAATTTTATGCGGTGCGGCTATTAAATTAAATAGAGTAGTGGACTGTATATTAGCGCGGTGCGAGCGGTGAATGGAATTTAATTTATTCGTGATACTGCAAATGCCCTAAATTCGGGGTATAGGAAGGACGTGAAGGAATGCATGTGCACCCACCTGGACTTCAGTTGATCTGCCTCGTGTCTCGATGGCTGCCGGCTTTCTTCACACTTATCAACTTCACGGATAATCTTCACAGATAATCACGAAATATAGTGTTATTGTAAATGTCTATACTTTTTTACTATATGCTTGTATAATTCAATATCCGAATTACACAAGGGCGGGAGCGATGACGCGAGATACAAGCGATGTGGTTGGTAGCGTGTCTTTCTCAACTTGTGTGAACCCTGTTAACACGAATGCACATGCCGGGCATAAAAAGGCGGTAGATAGGAAACGCGGAAATGGGCTTTGCAGTAATCTATAGGCGATAGTGCAAAGTGGAGCGAACACCAGCAACATAGTTTTAGGCATTTATGTGTTTATAGAACCACGAGCAGGATTTTACAGGCTTTATGTTGTTGTTATGCCGTAAGTAAAAGAAAGATCTGTGCGAGTCAAGAAGTAGGGCATGGTTTTGGCGTCACTTCAAAAGTATGCAACGCTCTATCCATGTTTCTTTGTTAGTTTGAGATTTTTTATATTATGGTCATTCGAAGTGTGCTAGGTCCAATGTCTCTTTAAATCCAATAAAGCAATTGATATCTTCGTAAACCAATAATCCGGGTTTCTGGTAGTCAATTTGGGTTAGTGCCACCCTGTTAACTTTTACTAAGTGGCCCATGTATAGCATAGAGCAACACAGACATCGGCGGACCGGACAAGAGTAGCATTGCGTTTTTTCCCGACACAGAACTGTACGTCATTTTTTGCGGGGAAAATCTGCGCACACAAAAACAATCGTCGTTTAGTACGAAACTTACACATAAAAATTAATACAATTTCACACACTCATTGATAAATTATAACAGTACCGCTTAGTGAGCTACAACTCGGATACAGACTTGGATCAGCCGCTCGATCGATTATCGTATGAGGGCGAGCGGCCTGAGTTGCTTAACAAATCCGAAACAACACGACCGTTATTGTTGTACTTTTTATTTTTAAAGCGAAGTTAATAGCAAAAATAATAATAATAATAGCGTAAAGTACCGCCGCGCCCTTTCAAGGAAACCTAGTTTCCTTGCACTAAATGAACCACCCATAGTTGAGGTTCCGGGAGAATTGAACCCCTAACAACTGAAGGCGGTCAGTTAACTCTAACATTACATTCTGGAAAGTACGAATCAGTGTAAGCGGGCTTCTTTTAGTGGTGAAAAGATAACACAACAGACATTTGCGCTTTGGAGGCGTTGAGTATCACGAGATCGGCACAATCCAATTCGGAGACTGCCTGCTATTAGTAATTCTTACGCTCAACTACAGCTTTTCTTTCGACCCTAGCATTGACCTTTCCACAAATGTACTGTCATCTGATCATTCACTCAGAAAATCCTTCACCGAACCAATCAAGTCAGGGGATAATTCGTACGTATGAAAACTTGCCCAAAAGGCTAGTGTGCCAAACTCTATCAAAGGCCTTCGAGACATCAAGGTAAACAGCAAGTGCTTCCCCACTATTTTTGTTGTCCGCATATGTGCGTCAACATAGGAGAAAACTCATGCGTACATATCTTTAAAATTATAACTGGTATTTTTATAACAGAAAAAACTATACCCAATTCTTTTTTTTTTCAAACTTCACGTTTGTCGGTTGTTTGATTCTTACGCAAAATGGAGAAACTAACTTCGTGCGGTTTTTAAATATTTCAGTAATATTTAATAATTTCCTGAGCCTGACAACATACATGGCAAATATTTGCACATAGACTAGATATTTACTAAAACTGCCATACTTAGCTGGCCGGATAGGAAGCCGAATTTTTTTTATTTGGTATTATATTGAGTTGTTAAGGGTACCGATTTAAAGCCACGTCAGAGGCCTCACTGAGGTGTCCAAATAGGTTATTTGTCTCCTGGTTTACCGAAGTGCTGTCGGTTGATGCAAGAGTACACTATTTGATACATTTCTGTGTCTATCAATACCCAGATAGTGGAGAAAATGGGATCTTCAAGGTCAAGGATATGCTAACAGCAGATGTCATTGCCGACAAGCACAGGCTCCAGCGCACTGGTGGAAATGATGCTCCACCCAGGGTAGCCCAGGTATGCCGCATCTCGTGGTGATAGTAAACTCCATTGAAGTTACAGTGCAGATCTCGGTTATTTGTAAGGTGCGCATTGAGGGAGAGGGAGTGCGACCACTACAAAGCTTACTACTCTTTTAATTTCCCTCTGTCGCCTCTTAAGACACCCGTGAGACGATATGGGGTAACGGTTTTATTCAATGTGTGTCCAAGTAAAAATTGATAATAATAATATTTTCTTCTAGGCTGAATTTCAGATACCGCAGACAATCCCAAAGGGGATCAGCCATCTGCTCAGGACAAGATTATAGTGTCATAGTTTATGCTTAGATGTACTCACGATTACCTCAATATCAAAGTTCGATGGTACGGCAATCCGACAGAGGGTGGCTTTACGAATTTACTAACGATTGAAAAGACTGCCAGCTTACTAGTTGTGCTGCTATTAAGATTTTTTTTTGGCAGAAAAACTCAATACCAGATATTTGCTCTCTTATAGGGCATACTAGAAACAACAGTCATAACTAGAATAAGGGTTTTGATAGAACACTCATAAAAATAGGTACTGCATTTAAACTCCGACTGAGCGTCAGTTTTACTCCACGCGACGTTGTTTTCCTACAAAGGAGTGCGCAAGTTATTTTTGCTGCGTTCACTGTTTAAAAGGTAATTCTAATAACAGCATTTCCTCGTTCCTTCGAGGGTTAAATTAAGTAATCACGTTGCGGTTCTCGTTTCAGAAATAGAACTAATTTCTGCCGAGAATAAGTAATTAACTTGTATAAGTTGTTCTATTCTTGTTCTTATAATCAGGTTTTTTATAACTGTAATCGTAATCACCAAAAATGTAAAAGCTTTCATTGACAAAATGACTAAGTTTTTTTGCGTAAAATATTTATATAATAATTTACCTCATGGGAAATGAGATAATATTGAATAAAACTATTATTTACGGATTTTATCGCGTTTAATTACTTTAATTTATTTTTATTATTATCCCGACGTTTCGGGTGCTTTACAGCGCCCATGGTCACGGGGGGAACTGAGATGTTTGACGTCCCAATGTCATAGTTAGTCCGGCTACCTTCAGTTTTTTAATATTAATTTTTGGTCCGATTTACGCAAAACGAGCTTATAGTATCATGAAGTCTTGCAGTGGTATGCATGGGTTTGGGTTTAATTTTGTTAATTATAGGATCCCAAGCAGATGGTAGCACCCAACCATCTTCTCTATTGAAATTTGGATGTTTTTTAATTTCAATAGCCTCGCGTATCATCCTTGGTAGGAATCGGTGTTCTTTTGCGAGAATTTGTGGTTTATCAAATCTAATGTAATGGTCGATTTAGAAGAGCAGTAAGAAGGGCTTTCTC